ATAATTAATGGGAAAAGAAACCATGAATTTGAAAGAGAGCTAGGAAGGGCACATGAAAGGATTTGGAAGGGGGAATGGGAAGAAAAAATGATGTAGTAATGTCTTGAAAATAGAAGAAAAATAAAATAAAACATGCTTTATCAGCTTTTATAGTATTAGGAAACAGTAGGGATATTGATTACTCTTGTTTTATATTAAGGGTTGTAAGTAGAAAGAATGAGAACACAAAATATTCTAAATACTCGTTTTGTACCTTTAGATCCTTTTCAATTCCATGTAAATTTCATTGAGTTTGCCTCTATCTAAAGCCTCTTGAACTTAATGATCTTCATGGTGTTCAACAGATGAAACAACTACAGTCACAATGTCAGCCTAGTGATGTTTTATCTTAATGCTTATTGGCATAGTTACCACCCTTCTTTCTTTGTATTAATTCTACTTGCACTGGGACCAAGGAGATAGAAGGGAATCATGCTGAAGAGACAGACTGCCCACATAGTTGTCATTTCTGTTCAAATTATGTAGAGCAAACTAAGCCATGTATTTAAACATTTGATAAATGCAGTGGAGGCTGTGCTTCTCCGTGGCACAGTCAAATCCCCAATGGAAGGGACCACATACAAAACAGTAGCCAAATTTTGTTTTGATTTTTATATTCACTCATTTATTCATATGTGTGTGTGTGTGTGTTGTAAGCATGTGGGCATTTTATGTGTGTAATACATGTGTGTAGTTGTATGTACCATGTATGCCTATGTATGGAAGTCAGATAGAAATCAGCATTGATGTCATCCTTGGGTCTCTTGTTGAATGCGTACCTCACCATTTCAGCCAGACTGGCTAGCCAGAAAGTGCTAGGAACCTTTCTGCCTCTGTCTTCCCAATAATGGGATTGCAAGTAAGAAAATAAGTGCCACTATGCCCATATTTAAGTGAATTCTTAACGTTTTGTCTTTATTCTTGTATAACTGAACCATCTTCACATCTTGCCAATTTTTATTTTAATAAATGCAGTCTACTGCAGGGACTATCACTTGATAAGTGAAATTATTCAGAACAATAGTCAGTAGTTCTCATTTTATTAATGATCACATTCACATTAATACCTGAGTCAAATCTACCCATTATATTTATTTAATTAATAACTACCTACCTTAAATTTCTTTTCGAGAGCTACTTGGTGAGTCCACACATGAAATACTGCTTTCGATTGTATGAACACTTCCTACAATTTGAAAATAGTTGGCACATTACAAGATATTTTTGTTGACTGAGGTCCATTTCTCTCATTATTCCTGGAAAATGGTTAACCATGTAGGATATGTTTCATTGCATTTTCAAATTTATTTTACTTTTTCATGTTTGAAATCTCCAAAGAACTCTAGATTGCTTAAAGTAGTGGTCAGCGTTCTTGATTTTTTCTCTAGTACTTCCATAGAGGGTTAAATAACCGAGAATTGTGGTTAGTTGGTTTGATATTTCCAACTGTCTTTTGAAATGATGTCTGTTACATTTTCCATTCTGCCCCCAAATCACTTAGGTCCAAGTGAAAACAACTTTTGTAAAATCCCATAAGATTATTTAATTCTCTTTGTGAGCTCACTAATGCTGTATTGCTTTGTTTTTTAATAAATCCCATTGCAAGATGACTTCTTGGTCAATTTCCAGTTCCCTACAATACTTGTTTAGTCTACAGTTTCTAAATGACTAATGGTTCAGCAAGGTCACTCCTTTATTTTTGAAATTGCCTCCTAGGGAACTCAGAAAGAAACTTACTTAATCTTCAGTAATTCAAAAGCCTGGATTCTGCCCTAGATTTAGTAAGTGATATTTTATTATAAAGCACTTCTGACAGACTTAATTGCTGGTCATTTTCCATCCCATCATAAAATAGCTCATGCATGTTGGCATATACCATAGGAGAACTCAAACAGAAAGAATTTGTTAACAAATTTGATGACAGAGATGTGTTCATTTTTTGACTCTCCTCTAGAAATTTATGTGATGTATCTTAGGAGCAAAAAGTAAAATTTAAACTATAGACTTGCATATATCTTTAGGAGGAGCAAACTTATAATTTAGTAAGAGTGAAACTGTGAGAAGAAAAGAAGGTAATTGTTTTCCAATGACTAGAGAGGGTATTGCCCTTCCGTTGGTTGTGTTTGTAAGTAGGACATTGTCCTTGTAAATAGGACAGCATTTTTCGTCAGTATCAGTGAAAATAGCTTTCTAAGTGTGTCTCCTGACAATCAACTAGGAAATTCATATTTATAAATAATATAAACAGTTCTTAAGAAATTTATAATTTTTCTGAAAGTGTTATATGAAGTGCTATTTTGTTACTTAAGATCCCTCACGTGTGATACATTTTTATTTGATTTTTGGGTAAGGATAGTCTTATAACTATTTGTAATGACTCACTGTATATTTGTATACAAACGTGTGTTTCTATGCATATGTTTAGTACGTTGTCAGTTTGAAGGGAGTTGTTATAGAGCATAGGCCATAATCATTAAGATTATGTGGATAAACAGATGGAAAAATATGTAGTACATATGTCCATATTATTTGCATTTAACTGGCATGTAGTGCCAGAAACAGTGCCATTTTCAGTACATTTATTTAAAGAGTATTTGTTTCCTCACATTCTCTCAAGTCAACATATTAAATAAGATGTAGAAAAAGGATAGTGACAATTTGTATTATATTTACTTACACATATTTTTGTATATGTGCAGGCTTCTACCTATGAATATGGCTAACAAGTCTGTTGTGACTGAATTTGTTTTGCTGGGACTCTCTAACTCCTGGGAACTGCGGATATTTTTCTTTATAGTGTTTTCCCTCTTTTATGTGGCAACAATGGTGAGTAATGGCATCATACTTGTCGTTGTCATATCCGACTCTCACCTGCACTCTGCTATGTATTTCCTGCTTAGCAACCTTTCTATTATTGATATGTCTCTTGCTTCTTTTGCCACTCCCAAGATGATCATAGACTATCTCACTGACCATAAAACAATCTCTTTTGGTGGATGCATCTCCCAGATATTCTTCCTCCACTTGTTCACTGGCACTGAGATAATTTTACTAATGGCTATGTCTTTTGACAGGTACATTGCAATTTGTAAACCTCTGCGCTATGCTTCCATCATTAGTACCCAGGTATGTGTTGCATTTGTGTTGTCTTCATGGATTGTGGGAGTCATGCACTCAATGAGCCAGGTCATATTTGCCCTGACATTACCATTCTGTGGTCCCAACCAGATAGACAGCTTTTTCTGTGACCTTCCTGTGGTATTCCAGTTGGCTTGTGTGGATACTTATGTTCTTGGTCTCTTTATGATTTCAACAAGTGGCATTATTGCATTGTCTTGCTTTATTCTCTTATTTAATTCATATGTTATTGTGCTGGTTACAATAAAGCATCATTCTTCCAGAGGATCATCGAAGGCCCTTTCCACCTGTACAGCCCATTTCATTGTTGTCTTCATGTTCTTTGGACCATGTATCTTCATCTATATGTGGCCACAAAACAGCTTTGTGATAGAAAAGATCCTGTCTGTTTTTTATACCATCTTCACTCCCATTCTGAACCCAGTAATATATACTTTGAGAAATCAAGAAGTAAATTCAGCATGAGGAAACTAAGAAGTAAGTTTCTAAATTTCAGTATAGAAACTCCTTCCCATTCTTTTTAGTTTCAGTTTCTTCATTATTAAGTGTAACAGATTTTATGAAACAACAAAATTGTGTGATGATTGTAGAAAAAATACATCTGAATCTTTAAAAGGAAGTTAATGGAAATAATTATTTCCAGAAAAAAATTCCCCAAAATATCAGGATTTTCTCTTTAGTTAGGATGTTGAATAATCAAGTCAATAGAAAAAAAGGACCAAGTAATAATTACAGCTTAAAGAGGAATGAAGTGATTAAATAATGACAGTTATGAACGTGCAGAAACTCATATACCCCTACAACATGACAAAGGAGCAAGATTTCTGTGATCCTTAGGATTATGCACTGTGGTAGAAAATGAATGTCTATCTCCAAATGACCATTTTTCCACATCCTTGAGCCATTTCTACTTCACATTTAAACCAATTTGTACCTTCTGGAATTAGAGAATCCTGGTGTATGCAATTATGAAAATGTGGATGGGGCGTAAAGAAACGATGCGAAGTGATTCTCCACCAGCCACACTAGTTAAGGAGCTTATCAGTGTCTGACCCTTACACTCACCCTCCTCATTAATCATCACAGTGGCACCACTTCCATGCCTCCTTCTGCCAGTGGGGTTTATGGGCCAGTGCAACAATCCTGAAATTCAGTGTCAGGAGGTGAGTTGCAAAGCTGATGGTTTGTGTTTCAGCAGGTCCATGGAAGTTGTCATTAGAATTAAGCTAAGAAAGACAGCTCATGATAACAATCAATCTCATGATAAGTGAAGCTTAATTCTAAATCATTATTTATTTTTGTTTTTTAGACAGGATCTTTCTATGAATCTCTTACTGTCCTGGGGCTGTAGACCAAGCTGGCCTCAAACTTACAAAGATCCACCTACCTCTGCCTCCCAAGTGCTGGGATTAAAGGTGTGTGCCACCACGGCACATCTTTTTTTTTGTTTGTTTGTTTGTTTGTTTTTTCTCTGTGGCTTTGGAGGCTATCCTGGAACTCACTTGGTAGTCCAGGCTGGTCTCGAACTCACAGAGATCCACCTGCCTCTGCCTCCCGAGTGCTGGGATTAAAGGCGTGCGCCACCAACGCCCGGCTACCACTGCACATCTTAAACCTAAACCATTATAATGATTTACTGTTTGGTTAAAGAGTTATTTTAGTTTAATATTTGGGAAAAATAAATTTCCGTTTAGTACTACATTTTTCATTTAATGAGCATGATATTAAATGCAAGTTTTGCTAAGTGTTTTAAGCATTATCCTTTTTTGTACACTAAAAATGACCATCATTCAGCTGACAGAAATTCAAATTGCAAGGACTTGAAGTTGTAAAATCTTGTGATTCTGTTTATTGTACTTTGTAAATGATCTTTTACAAATAATAGCAAACATTGAGTAATTCACTATTGTTTCAAATTTACTAAATAGTATTTGCAAATGTGATATCAAATACAGTTTCCCAACTGTAGTTATCAAAAGTAGGATATGTAGCAAATAAGTATTTGTGCATATTTGGTTGTTTTCATTTATTGGAATTATTGAGCAAATGAAGGGAGCTACAAAAATTATTTATGAATTTAAGTATTATATATGAGAGATGAATCAAGGATAAGACATCTCTAACTTTTCAGTTTAAGCCAAATTTAAGAAGGATATACTGCTTTTCAAATTTGTGTTTTATTCATTAAATATCCTAAACAAACAGGAGAACAGGCTTATTTTAAAAGTGTGAAAAATTGTATTTAAGATTTAAGTCAAGTTTGAAAATAAAAATAAAGACATTGATGATATTAAGGTAAGGAGACAACACACTATACAAGTGACAGAAGTGCATAATTCAGGTTGAAATGGGTAAGTTTAGTTTGTGTTCTCTTTGTCATAGTTCCATTCAATGATCTGATTTATTTAAACTACTTTAGATAATATTTTTACTAGCATTCCCAATAATTACTCCATATGATAGCTATTTGTTCAAGGAATCTTTTAAAAAATGAACTATTTTTCACAATGTTAAATATTCCTCATTTGTCAAAACATTACCGAAATGGAGAAACTATAAAAATGTAATTATGAAAATACATTAAATTTTGTTATAGCTAACCTGAAGTTTGAAACTTTGAGAAAAAAGGAGAATCTTCCCGTTAGAAATAGTAAACTAGTGTTCAGAGTAGATGTAAATGTAAACAGGAAGGAAGTAATAACATCGAGAAAACAGCAACAACAACACGAATTTGGAAAAGAGGGTTACACGGGAGGACTTGGAGGGAGAAAACGGGAGGGGGAACTGATGTAATTATATGATAATCACAAAATTAGAGAAATTATAAAAAGTGGAATGTTTTGGAAGGGATATTTTCAATATTCAGTGATTACAATGAGAATTCTCAAACTGCAAAGCATATGCTCAAAGCCCTCAGGAAAGTAATTGGTCAGGAGATGGCTTTACAGTGCAAGTCAGTAATGTGATTCAGATTCAGATATCTGGAACACCGCCACAGGCAAAGAGAATCTCAGAAAGTATGTGTCATGCATGAAAGTAACAAAATACTAGAGAATTTAGACAGGAAAAAAGGAGGGAAGAGAAGGCAAATGGGGAAGGAAAGACGGATGGAGGGAGGGAGAAAGGGGCCAGAAATGAAAGTCTCATGGTTGAGGGAGGGATGGAGAGAAAAGGAAGAGATACTAAAAATCGCAGTAACAGGGTTATTTGTAGCCCAACACGATGCGAATCTTCAAGTATGTATGTCATGCAGATACCAAGAAAATCCTCTCTTCCTCTTGGCAGTCTGCCACTACAAATGTTATATTTAATGCATTTCTTTATGGAACGTGTACGCACGTGCGTGCGTGCATGCGTGCGTGTGTGCGTGCGTGCGTGTGTGTGTGTGTGTTTGTGTAAGGCAGAGGGAAACTCTCAGCAGTTAATTCTGTCCTGTAATCTTGTGGTGGTTTTATAAAAACAAAAAAAAAAGACTCAAAATGCTCCTCCCCTTTTTCTGAGAAGGAAGTACCAGTGTCCAAGGAGTATAAGCTGGGATCAGTTTAAAGACTTAGGCTTTATGCTGGCCTGACCCCCATCACCCGGTAGAATGCAGTCAGGCAGTACTCTTGCCAGCCCAGTGTTCCATGACTGCTGCTGCTACATCACGACATAGTCTGAAACCTGGTAAAAAGGACCCCTTAAAATAAAAACTTTTTCCCGCTGATCCGCTGAAGGGGCAGACAGGACTTTTCCTGCCTCCCTCTTCTCTTTCTGTCCTTCTTTTCTCTTCCCCTCTTCCCTTTCTAACAAAACTTCTCTCTTAAACTCTGTCTGCCTGGCATGTTTGTCCTTCTCCCGCTGTGGAATCCGCCAAAGTCCCCACATAATTTATTCCTAAAAGTCTGTCCTCAAAACTCTTTTAGGAACACAAGTGAAACAATTTTATATAACTTAAAAGTCTTTTTATATTACTTGTAATAATGCAATGCCTATAAGATAAGAGATGGTACCATGCAGCTCTTATAAGACATGGCTATGCTTGACCTGGAACTCACATAGGAGCCAAGCCAAGCTAAGCCTTCGTGTGCTAATGACTAACCCCAAAGTGGCGTTGGTATACTAGTGAACCACGCTTGTGAACACTGATAGCACAAAGCTACTTCTCAGTGAAATGATACAAAAACCGGGACTTGGAAAACGTTCTCTAGGATCTCACTGGGGTGTTCCCAAAGATTCTGATTCTCTAGCAAGGGGGCCTGAGTTTGGCTTCTGTGGGTAGCCCTGGCTTCAGTGACTGTTGAAATTCTGCCACTGTTGCTGGATTCGCCCATGCCTGCCTGTCAGCAATAGCCAAAAGTCAAGGACCTACTGGACTTCCGTCAGTGCCATCCACCAGCCTGCCACACCTAAAGGCTTTCAGGGCAGACATGTGTTGAGCCTCCAAGCTTTTGGAGAAAATTCCGCAGTGGAACCCTGCAGTGGCATTTTCCGTCCAATTAACTATTCTATGCTTGGTGAGATGTCTGATTAACTTTTATATAAGTGTGATATTATAATGAATATCTGTGTGAGTGAACTGAACATATCCAAAAGACCTATCTTGTGTGAACATCCTAACTGCCGCAGGCAACCAGCCACCCTCTCCACAAAATTCCTCTGGCTAAAGGAGAAGTCTTTAACCAAGAACCAGAAATCTTGTTTGAGCTGTAACGAGAGTCACTGGTTTTCACGAAGAAAGAATTAGCAGTAAATGCTTGAAGCTGCCAGCATTAAGACAGACTAGTAGCCAGCTTCCTGACAGTACTGCCCATCAGTACTGGAGACAAAGGATCACCCAGAATAATAACCTCAGCCCAGTCCACAAACCACACCCTTTTCATGTGACCAAAACAAGACAGGGTCAACAGGGAAAGCCACATACGGTAAAGGTTTGCCCTCAGTGGAAGATAGCAGTTCAGGCTGCTGGGGAAGGAAAAGAGCCGTGTCCTATAGGCAGGCTCTGAGCTGCATATACCGTCATTGAGGACAGGAAAACAGACCTCTTTACCTTTCTTTTTCACTTAATTTTGCTATTTTTATTGTCTGACTAAAATGCTAGTTCATATCTTTCTTTCCTATTTTCTCCCTTTACTGATGATAGACATTTATGGAAATGACATAAACAAACTGATTGAATCAGAACAATCCAAACATGATATATGTGTATATACAATATATTAGTACACATATAAAACATTTTATTCCTGTTTGCTTGCCCTCAGCTTTTTTATTTTTATTATTTATTTTTAAATTTAAATTTAAATTAGAAACAAGGTTGCTTAACAAGTCAGTCTCAGGTCCCTCTCCGTTTCTCTCCCCTCCTCCCGTGCCCTCCCATCAACCCCCCCCCAATATCCCTTCATTTCCCCAGGGAGGGTGAGGCCCTCCATGGGGGTGTCCATAGTCTGTCATTTCATATAGGGCAGGGCTTAGACCCTTCCCCAAAAGTTCAGGGTGAGAGTGCACCTCACATTGTTGGATGGGAGTCCAAAGTCCGTGTGTATACTCGGGATGGGTACTGATCTACTACCCAAGGCTCAATAGATTACCTAGGCCTCCTCACTGACACTCACATTCAGGGGGTCTTGATCAGTCCCATGCTGGATTCTCAGGCATCAGCCTGGGATTCAAGAGTTAACCCTTGCCGTGTCAGCTGTTTCTGGGGGTTAAGCCAGCCCAGTCTTAACCCCTTTGGTCATCAGTCCTCTCTCTCTTTTACTGGCTTTCTTGAGTTTAGCTCAGTGCTTAGCCGTGGGAGTCTGCCTCTTCTTCCATCAGCCACTGAATGAAGTTTCTGTTTCCCAGACTCTCTGGCCATGGGATTATAGGCTGGCAGTCCTCATCTCTGTCTAAAATTCATATATGAGAGAGTATATGCCATGTTTGCCTTTTTGTGACAGGGTTACCTCTCTCAGGGTAGTTTCATCTAGTTCCATCCATTTGCCTGAGGATTTCAAGATTCCACTGTTTTTTCCTCTGAGTAGTACATCATTGTGTAAATGCACCACATTTTCTCTTTCCACTCTTCAGTTGAATGGCATCTAAGTTGCTTCCAGGTTCTGGCTATTACAAATAATGCTGCTATGAACATAGTGCAGCAGATGTCCTTGTTGTATAAATTCATATCTTTTGGGTATATGCCTAAGAGTAGGTTTGTTGTGTCTTGTAGTAGGTTTATCCCCATTTTTCTGAGGAATCTCCATACTGATTTCCAAAGTGGCTGTATGAGTTGGCACTCCCACCAGCAATGGAGGAGTGTTCCCCTTTACCACATCCTGTCCAGTTTAACCATCATTGGTGTTTTTGATTTTAGCCATTCTGATAGGACTAAGATGGTATCTCAGAGTTGTTTTGATATGCATTTCCTTGATGGCTAAGGATGGTGAACACTTTCTTAAG